CTGGGCGTCGCCAGCTTGACGAACCAGGTCTTCAAGAACCGAAGACTTTGCATCATCTGATAAGTCCCTTTGTGCTCGAAAAGAAACTTGGTTGACCCATGTTTCGTAGTCTCGTCTGGGATCTGCGATGCCTCGATCAAATCACTGCCGAGGCGAAGGACGTCAATGGCGCTCTCCTGACAAAGCTTTCTTCCCCAGGAGGTTTGGCAGGACCCTGTGAGTGCATCCACTATGCTGCTCAAGTTCCCGCGGCACTCGCTGAGCTCGGTGTCGTCCGGCGTTCTGTCTGAAACGTTAAGGAACTTCAATTCCTCTTCTGCTGGGCTCCTATATACCGGATATCCCTTGTTGAATTTCGACAAGGGTGACCCAGAGGCCTTCCGAAGATGTGCTTCGAGCTCTGCTTGCACTGCCACCGTCGACAAGCTCTCGCCCGGTGCCCATGGAGAAACCGAGTGACCGTGACTGTGGTGGCCTTGCCGCATGCTGGCCACATGATGAACAATGAATGCCAGAAGCGTGCCGGCATGGACCGGCATGACGATTCCATACGGAAGCATGTAGTGGGCAAATTGAACCGCGTGAAATGGCTGCGCACAGCAAAGATGCTTTGCTGAAGGGTTGCCATGTGACATCCACCTCTTTCTTCACGAGAGAAAGGGATCGCAGGAAAGATAACTGGCTAGACCCGATACTAGGGGCGAGCATGTTGGATCGTATCAACCGAGCACGGTCGCCCGTTCTTCGGGCCCGCACATCGAAGTTCTCGATCCCGACGTCATCAAGAGCCTCCACGGATGTGTAGGTTCTTCCACAATGCCGCGGCTATCGTGCAGCTGCATGGGCCGTTGCTCAATTTAGGTCCCACTATTAGCATTACTATCTTTCCTGCTGTTGTTGCTACCATTTCTCCGACCATTATGATTATTACTACTCTTCTTATTATTATCGTCATTATGATTATCAGTGTTATTGTTCTTTTTGTTATTACGTATGAGTACTAATGTTACTATTAGTCGTCGTCGTAGTCGCCGTCATCGTGGCAAAGTACACGGGCGACACCGGCCCAAGGCTCAAAGTGGATTTCGGCTCCCAACCCCTCGGCCCTAGGCCCAAAGGGCCGAACTGATGGTTGACCCTCGAGCCCTAAGCCCTCCTAAACCCTCACCGAACCTTTTCACACCTGGACTACAACCCGAACCCTAAGCCCTCAACGCCCTGCCCTACACCCTACCCCCCTTCAACCCTACACCCTCAACCCCCTACACCCCACTCTTCTGTGCACAAGAGGGAGGACCTCCCCAAGGCGCCACGCCAGGGACCGGGCTACCGGGGTCCCTGGGGGCTTCGCGAAGCGGCCCAAGCGATGCCAGGCCTCTGGCTCTGGTGTTTTCCGGGGGTTTGGGCTTTAAGGTTCACGATTTAGGGAATCTAAGATTTAGGATTTAGAGAATTTACAGTTTAGGACTTAGGGAATTTAAGGTTTAGGGTCTCGGCGCTCACACTCGGACGGTCCAGGTGAGGCGTTCGAGAGTCTGCTGAAGCGAAACCAAAACAGCACCACCGGGTTTGGGATTTAGGGCTTAGGTTGTGTATACAGTTCGCGCGCGTGGGTGCGCCTTTTACTGTAGGAATAGGGGCACCTATCGCGCGCTTGCGTCAGCATGTAGTCCCGCCCCAACCACCCCAAATATTCTCAATTCGGGTTCAGGGCTCACCCCTCAAACAAGTGGGGCTTTCTTGCCGCTCCCTGCTTGCCCTCGCAGTTCTGCATAAGAGGCACGCTTCCGCAGCTGAGATGGATTGGTGTCGGGTTGTGGGTCCTCGGCTTCCGAATTCGCCCCTCGCACCCTGTGAGGGTTGCTCGAAGTTTCCAGTGACGGCAGGTGGGTCACTGAAAACCTGGCCTGGAAGCCCTGAGCATTGAGGAGGCACGGACCGGCGGGACGTCGCCCGCTCGGATCAGCTCGCGTCCCTGGAATCTGCGAGCCTCGGACTCAGATGCAGGTACGCCCCAGAAGGGCTTTGGACGAGCGGCGCGCAGGACGCCCCGGGCCCGCTCGGCCGAGGGCCTCGGTCGGAGCCATTCGGAGCCTCGAGCACACATGAAAATGGTCAGCGGCGCTCTCGGCAGTTTAGGATTTTTTCGACGCTCGCACTCGGCTGGCATGGCGGTTGAGTTTAGGATTGTTCGGGGTGTGGGGTTCAGGGTTCTTCTGGCTCTCGCACTGCATGTCATCAAGCGAGGATTCAGGGGCAAACAGAACTGCACTAGCGATCCCACTCCTGCACGAAGTGTTCAGTCCAAGTGCCTGCGACAGCTACTCAACAAGCTCCTATATGATACTCCAGTTCCAACACAAACTGATTTGGGGTTAAGGGTTTTGGGTCTTTTCCAAGCGATAACGATTCTCGTGACTTTTCGTTGATGCTCACTTTCGGCTTACACCAGGTCTGCAGAGAATACGTCTCATTCGCCAACAAGAGCCGACTAGGTAGGTTCACTTAGACGGGGCTGTCAAGTCAGGTGAGCTTCAATGTAGGAGGTTTTCAAGGTGCTATTGAAACGACTTGCGGTTGTCGGTGGGTCTGAGGTTTACGTTTTGGGAATGCTGTTAAGCAGTTGGTGGGTTCAGCGCTTTAGGGTTAAGGCATATGGCTTCCTCTTCTAGGCGGTTCGGGATAGGTCTGTCACCTCATAAAGCCTGACAAAACTGTACAAAAATCATGAGCACTTGATAGTGCTGACCTTCGGTTGCTTCTTGCTTGGTGCCATATGATACTTCAGCACTCACACTCGGACCTAGCTCGATGGCTGCAGTGTCTAGAATTCTAAACGTTAGGGTTTTAGTCAGTCTGCATTCGAAGCCAGCTTTGTGTCCGGGTTTCAAGGCTTAGACCGTCCAACTCAATCCAAAACTGGAGGAGCATGTTGCAGGGCTTGTCCCATTGCTGCCCCCTCGTCTAGACTCTCCTAACTATGCCCACCTTATATATGGGCTTAAAGGCATGCTTATACTTAAGCCCTTACATACCCCAAAAACGTATAGTATAACTGTCTTTTGCTTTCACCTCCGGAACCTCGGAGACGTAGAAGGACCCCGAACCGCAAACTGTCAAATTCTCTGACTCTGACATCCCCGGTGCTGTCCTCCTTTTGACAAGGATCATATAGCGGGGTTTAGGCTTTCGGCGCTCACACTAGGACAATCCATGGGAGGCATGTTCTCTAACGGTCACGTTATGTCATAGTTATAGTGCTTATGCTCTCGCTAGTGTTTTAGGGTTCTACTTGTCCTATTCTCTTTCTTGGCATAGCATAATAGCAATAGCAGGAACAGTCTTCCCCTCTAAACTGTATATACCTCCCGTGTAGCATGAACAGCATGCCCTTGTCCCTATAGGATTCTTGTATGATGATACAGAACCCCGAAACCCAGCAACTGTCGGGCGCCGGCTGTGGCATGGGACAGAGCCGGCCACCTGCCCGGGTGCTTGTGATTTGGGTAAAAGCCTAAAGAGGATGCTTTGGGGGTCTGTGGCTGCCTCTGTCTCTTTTTCTCCCTCTCTCTCTCTCTCTCTCTCTCTCTCGCTGTCTGTGATTGCATCCAGAGGGCCTAACTGCACCAGAGGGTTTGCCATTTTTGCCTCCTACAGTACTTTGCAAAGACGAGCCCGCGTGGCAAAGTTTATGCGAGGGGTTGAGAGGGCTTTGGGTTTATGTAGAGTGTTATGGCTTACTTACGCTCTCGCCACGCGGACTCTATGGCGTACTTAGGGTCTAGGGCTTATGCAGGGCTTAGGGGGAGTAAAGACCAGAGTGTGGCAGCTTGCAACTTCACCTTGCTACCAGCTCCCGCACATGAACTCTATGTGGCTTTCCTTCAGCCGGCCAAAAGCCTCTGATTCTTCAACTGTAAGCAGTGGAAGGAGAATGAACTGGTCGCAGGCACCGTCTGCTGGCGGGATGCAGGGTTTAAGGAAAAGTCTGGCAGAGAAAAATCCTTTCAGGCTTCGCCAGCCCGGCTGCCGCGAGTAAGAAAGGGAGCTCAGAGTGACACAGGCGCGGGCGTCGATGCCAAGCAAACTTGCCCCACCTGCTCAAAGGTTCGTACCTGGGCTGGTCACATCTGGGACTCTTTTGGGGAGGTAGGCTTCGCGGCATCAGGATGCAGATCCGCAAAGTTGCCCACACCAAGTGTATCCAAGTGCTGCAAAACAAGGTATCAACGTGAGATTTTCGGCTAAGGTCTTCGAGGCTACTTGCAGGCATCAGACTCGCGACAGCACAGACTTACCATGAAATCAACGAAATGCCCGCAGAGCACTGAGACCTCTTCACCCAAATCGTGGCGTAAACCGTCAACTTGAGGCCCAAGGCCTCGTTGAAGCCTCAAACAACAATCCATGCAAACCAACCAGAGAACTGACACCAGGCGGCTCGCGAAAGATGGTCGCCAACTCCTTGCGGGCAGTGGATTGGCAAGACTTATTCTGGGACAAAGGCTACTTTCTTCCAGCAATGCGGCGCCTCCTTCAATCCCTCCACTCCTCCTACTCCTCCCCCTTGCTATGGCTACGGCTGCGGCTATGGCTGTGACGACGATGGCGACGACGATGACGACGCCGGCGACAACGACGACAACGACAAACTTTAAAGTCCCCAATCCCAAAGTCTGCAAGCCATGACCCAGCACCGATTCCTTTGTGCCCGCACCCTGAGGATACCCGCAAAGCACTGCCCCTCTCGAATGGAATCCCCAAACCATGAAGATCTGAAAGGATCGAACTGAAACTTGAGACTTGAGACGTTGGGTTTCAGAGTTGCGGGTTTGGGACGTAGTGTCTGTGCTGGGGCTGATGTGGATTTGCTGCCCGTTCGATCGACATGTACACTAAGAGCTTGAAGCTCAGCCGGGCACCCCTCATCCGAGCCCTGAGGCATGACTCACAAGAGAAAGCCCGCTGAACCCCTAAAGCTGTCCCAAGCTCGGGGAGTCTATTTTTCTATTTTTTTGTTTTCATGAAAATCATCACCATATGGTGCATACTACGTTCCATACTACGGCTAGCTGATAGAAGTGCCAACCACGATGGGGTGGAATTCTGGGGGTGTCGATTTCTCCCCCTTCTCCTCCAGGCTACGGCTTCTGGCGAGCTGCCTCTGCAGTCCGTTCCTCGTCTAATCCAGGCCCCCAAACGGAAAACCCGCTGTCTTTCAAAGCCTTTAGCTGAGTGGGACTGCGACTCAGGCCTGGGATAGCTTGGAGGACATGGCGACTAGAGTTGGGTGAGTGGGCCTTGCGGGATTTAAGAATCGAGATTGGGGTTATAGGGACATGATGCGTCTGATGGGGGATGCTGGTTATTTGCTGCTTCTTGCTTCAGCTGGTGGGTTGCGAGGGTCCCGTGGGGTTTCGTGTCGGGGCGTGGACTTTTTGGGCATCCCCGGCCCCCAGACCCAGGCCGGGAACTCACTCCGGATCATGCTGGGGCATACTACAGCTACTACGGGATCCTGCATGATTTTTCGATATGCTGCTTTATGCGTGATCGGTACACAGGTCTGTGGAGGCACGGGCTGAGGAGCGCACGCCACTCGTTGTAGCGTCCCTTTTGACCCTATTTCGGGAACTTAGGCCCAGATGGCAACAAAAAGCCTTCAACTCTTGCATCTCGCACAGGCACTCGAAACCCAAAACCCTAAACCCTTCAACCCTAAGCCCTGAACCCGACGCGCTTGTTTGGAACTCCGGGCCAAGACCTGACCCTTGGAGGACTAGGAAAAAAGAGAGTTGAGAATAGAGTTTAGGGTTTATGGTATGGTTTAGGGTTTAAGGTTTAAAGTGTTCCGCGAATCAGGATCGGGTTTTTGGGGATATATGATACTACAGTTATAACAAGGAGCCCCGAAAAGATAATTGGTAATTGCATAGGCTTCTATGTTAGAGATGTGCATCTCAGGAGCCATCGGCTCATGTCTTCTTTGGCCGCAGGCTCTGCAACAGCTTCTGGGCTCGCCCGACCAGAGCATGGCCATGAGCCGCTATGACTTTCTTCGGTTGCTGTCGCAGATCTGTAAATTCCACTATAGGGTGCTGCAGGAATCTGGGCTCTGTTGTGGATGTTGGGAAGGCTATGTCGGGGCTTTGCAAGATGCCCAGCATACGGATGTTGGAGGAAGCTGGGCATGTGAGGGCGGCACTTGTAAACCATAACCCCCGACTTTGTTTGAGTCAAGCTGAAGTACAGACAACTCTATGCTGCTGCAACACAAGTTCATACAGCTGACCCAAGGCTCGTGCACGAAAGTCTTGCAAAAAAAGCCCTCGCCCTGAACCACATTCAAGGTCAAACCAGTGACCATGGATGTGGCAGGACCTTGGTCTCGGAGAAGGTAGAAGAAAACCAAAACCAAGATCCTGCAAGGCTCCACAAAGCCCTGAATCTTCGATGCGAACCTCTACATGCGGCTCCAAACCCTAACCGTGCTAACCTTTGTTTTCCTGCAAGGCGACTATGCAACTGTCCAAAAGCTGTTGGAAGAACGGAGGCTGTCAGAGCCCACTCTCTTTCCTGTGCCATCCTTTTTGGTGTGAAAGAGGCTATTCACAAATCTGGGCTTCAGGATTGTTTTGCCCGGTTCGTTACTCCCGCATGGCAACGACGGGCCCACTAAGCAGGACGTAGGTTTTTTTGCCTGGGTTCGACACGCACGCTCGCAAAGACCAGTTTTTGCCTGGTTTATAGGATTTAGCGAATTTAGCGACTCGGCAATGCAGGCGAGGTTGGTTCTGAGTTCGCAGGGAGGCTCATGCGGCCCCAAGTCGGCGGAGTGAGACGATAAGGCATTTACGATTTCAAACTCGGACTCTGCCAGATGAGGTTCGTAGGTCGGCGGGGTGAAACATCACACGAGTTGGTACTACTGGTTTGAATTGTATAAGTGGCGGGCAAACCCCGTACATGTTCTCAAAGTCAATGGTGATATTTGTAAATCTGTACACGGCAGTCGGAGGGGCTCTCTACAAGGGCGTCAAGTGGTCAAATCTCCAGGCTCATTGTTGCATTGTGTCGGAGCACGTCCCATCCGGAAAAGAACGGAGTCTCTTCACATCACCAAACGGGTCCGTAAACAGTCAGTGCAGAATACACAGAATAAGAGCTATCTTCGACGCGCCCAAGTCCGGCAGTATCAAAAGGCATGGTGGTCCATATCTTCACCCACTACGCCTGAGTAGCTCGCCCAATCTCATCCGCTAGGTCCGCTAGATGGCGTGTCACCGGAAACGAGAGCTATGCGGACCATTGGTTCAAGCTTCGTTCGGTGAGAGTCGGATGCATCTGAGGGTTTCGTCCAGCTGCGCAGGTCAGTAGACAGCAATTGCAACGAACTCGCGAATTCCCCAACCCTTCCAAATTCAGGCAGTAAAGTCCAAGTCCGGCACGAAATTTCGCAGTGGGAACGTCATCACGCTACCAAAAAACTCCTTGCATATGCACTCGCCAGAGCCAAATCCAAGCTCAGGATGTCGGACCATGCGTTGCGTTCTGCTTGAATACTACCCTGACAGTCCGGGGTTTGAGGGGGCTTGAGCCGTGGTCTTGTGCCGTAGCCATTTTGACGATACAGCATTTCGGGTTTGAGGTTGGGGAGCTTAGGATTTGCTCTTTAGGGTTTAGGATGGAGCACATCTGGAAGAGAGAGTCTGTCTAACAGCTTCGACGCTGGATCTGAACAGGCTAACCCATTCCTTTGAACGGGGACTCCCGCAAACCAGACCCAGCAGCTGGACATGGCATCCCTGTGCACTGCGGGCTTCTAACACAATCCCGTAAACATACATGTGTAGGTATGTATGAATGCATGCATGGGCGTATGTACGTCTCTGTGAACCGGCACAAACATGTACATATACATGTGCGTAGACCTAGTCTTACTATCACCCTGGCACTCAGAAGCACGTCGATGTCAGATGAAATGCAGCAAACCTGCTTCTTCCTGCCCATCTGAGGCTGCACCAACCTCGGTTCTTTGTGGGGGTTGGGTGTCGGGCAGAGCACTTGGACTGCCAGGATGTCGGGGCTCCGCTTCTAGAGGGCTAGCAGTTGTCCTGGAAGCAGTGGCAGTAGCAATGGCAGTAGTTGCAGTTGCTGCGGCCCCTTGTATATTAACAGAACGTTCGCTCCACTACGGCCAGTTTACAGCCGCTCCCAATTTCTCAGTGCGCCCGATGGGCCAAGCACTAAACGAACTCACATGGTTGAACCCCAGCTACCCCCTAACCCGACACGACAATAGTTCACTTGCAGACCGTTTACAAAATTATACAACCACTTAGATTAGAACCCCTTATAGATTCAGAAACCTAAACATGAAAACCTTCAGGCTGCGCCAGGGCACTGAGTAGCCGCTTCGCCGGGGCATGGGCGGAAGCAGCTCCCACATCCCTTGCAAGGATCAGGGTTGGCACTCTCCCTCTCGCATGACTCTAAGTAGGGCAAGTGGGGGGTCTGGGTAGTTGGGTTCTGTTGCAGGCATAGATGCGTGTTTCCTGACTGGCCACCTGTTGGATCTCTTTTAAGCTGCACTGCTTGGGCCTGCTGCTGTCAAGGGCACGTACCGCAAGACTAACCTGCTGAAGCGCAACACCAACATGACCCGAGCAGAAGCGCCTTGGACAGGGTCCAGCCGCTCGCAGTCTGCCAAGTTCTGCGCACCATCGTAGCCGCCACAGACTGGTGCGGACGGATCTTTAGGGTGCTGACAATAATCGCTTTAAGCGGGCTGTCATGTGACTCAAACTATTCTTTTCCTGATCTCAGTGATTGCCCGCTTCTGCTCGATGGCTTCATCGTGCATCTTATCCTGTCTTGCTCTCTCCGGTCCCAATGCGACGCACTGCGTACATTTGTAGTCAATGCATTCGTCGTTGTAACAGCAGCAGTGTTGTAGCACTCATGCTCAATACTCGTCCTCTTCTTCCTCGCCTGCTTCGCTTTCTATGCTGCTGCTGCTGCTGCTGCTGCTGCTGCTGCTGCTGCTGCTGCTGCTGCTGCTGCTGGAGCTGCCGCTGCTGCTGCCGCTAGTGCGCTGCCTTCTCTACGAAGACGAGAGCGACGACGAGTCGACGACGACGACTACCACAAGCACTGCGACTGCAACTGCCACTGCTGATTTGACGGTGACGACGACGACGACGACGACGACGACGACGACGCAGCAGCACCATGCGTGCTACAGGAATACACGAAGATCTGGTCCAGCTAAGTCCCCAAGGTCCTGAACCCTAGGCCTAAACCGTGAAGCCCTGAGTTCAGGATTTAAGAATCTTGGGCACCAGTTGAAGATGAGGCCTGGCGCACAGGCTCAAAACATTGGGAATCATTCAGCTTTCCGGGTTGTTTCGGCTTGGGAGTATTGAGATTCTGCAAAGACTATAGATCGAGTACGGGCAGAACAACGGCACGAACAGAGAGGGGAGCCAGAAAAGTTTGCATTTTCTGATGATAGAAACCTTCGAAAACCTCGACATTTCCCGCGACAGCATCCGAAGGAACTGAGACCCCTGCTGTAGAGTTGGCCCGCAACGACGGCCTAATTGACTTGGCTGAGATTGCTCGAATCAGGTTCACACTCAGACCTCTCTCCTCCCTCTTGCTTTCCGCTCACGAAGCTTTCGACAGAAAAGTAGAGGCCAGTAGAGGCCAGCAGAGAATGGCCCCATCGGCGCGGATTGCCGCTCATGGGGCCGGCGACGGTGTCACCACGGCCCACGCCGATGAGCTCTGCGGGTAGGGTGGCGCTCATCAGCCGCAGTCCTACATATTGTGGAGATGCTGACCTCTGCCTGATATGGGTCACAGATAGCTTGAACGTTTGTGGGCACTGTCTCTATCTCGTTCTCGCTCTATCTGTGAGTGAGAAGCCGACGGCCAACTTTCAAGCACAAGTCTAACCAACATTCTGCAACAAGAGCACCACAGCCGCGCCAGCCCGCCGTGCCAGCATTGGGCGCAGGCTCCTGAACTCTGCATTGGAGTTCACCGTCTCAGTGACTTGGTTCAAATGTACACTTTGACGGTGAGCGTTGGAGACCTCTTCACGCAAGTCATGCAAATTCTAGATCTTTTCGCAGCTTGTGCCCTAAACGTTTCTTGATTTCACCGTGGTCAATGGCCAAACACCAAGTGCTGGCAGGCTGAGAAACATGGAGTGAGCTTCAGAGATTGCACACATGCGCCCATCTACCCATCTATCCGTCAATTGTCACCTTACATATCCATCCATCCCTCCAATCTATCTTCTGTCCATCTAGGGCAGCTTGCCAGCCAGCACAACCTCAGGCTGGGACTATATGTCCTCCGCAGCCTCACCAGAAAGATCAACCACGGATCGGCTGGAAAGCATCGGACAAAAAGAACGTCCTCCACGACCGTCGATGGGGATCGAAGTGCTCAGTCGAACTGCGCATGGCGAACAACAACGTTGTAGGAGTTTCAAGCTCCGCTGCGGTTTTACCCAATGTGCAGTAAACTCTAAACCCAAAACCTAAGAATTTAGGTTCGGACTGCCGGGATCAGGGTGTAGTGTCTTTGCTCTGCTAGGAAGGCATTCGCACATCTCCAGAACGGTGTGAGGGCGTTCTGGATGTTTCACACGTCTATGTCTATGGGACAACTCAGAAGAAACACGACTCTAAGCACTGAGCGCTGAACTCTATGGCTTACCCTGCCTTGAACCCTAAACCCTGCACACCAAACCCTGGTGCACCCTAAACCGCTTTACACCCCCCTGAACTGCCTGAGGCTCAGGGACTGTTGCCCATCGAAGCCGCCGCAAACCCAAAGCCTCGCCCAAGACGCCCAGAAGCTTGTTTTCAAGGTTTCGGTTTAGGGTTTGTTTTGCCTCCCGGGACAAGCCGGGCAGGGTGTCTGAGCAACGGCTCAACGAAAACATGACCCGAGATAAGTCATGATGGGAATTGCACGGAGTCTTGGAGGTTCGGGTCAGGGTTCAGGCTCTAAGGGTCAGACTCACACCTGCACAGCACCAGGACAGAACTCAGACAGGCCTTCATAATTATTAAGAAAATGGGAGACCAAATCAAAACGACTTCGGGTTGCAAGTGAAGACGTTAATGATTATAAAGCTTTAAGCCAGCAGCACACAGGACAGCAGTAGTCGTAGCAGGTACACGATGTAGACAAAAACTTGATCAAGTAGGTGCAGTTTGAAATGATGACTACCCATCGTTGTTTGAGGATTTGAGGGAAGCAGTGACAAGAGATTGAAGCTACAAGGGTCTATGGCCATCAGAATGACCATCAAGAACACGGTCCATCATACAAATCAAGAGAGAAATAGCGAAACAGTTATGCTCGTCCGCACATTCATCACGGCCAAGTTTAGTATCATTGTCACTGGTGCCACCACCAGCACTCTCAATGTTTTATAGGTATCCGCAGGAACTCGCCAGCACCTCTGTTTCAATGAAGTCACGATGACCCAAGCTTGGTGATAGAGCCTTCCATGCAACGCTGCGGCAGCTGCACCGTCCCGCCTGCAGACATTTCATAGGCTGGAGGCTACTGCTATTGCTACTAGTATTGCTGCCAGTAGTAGTAGTAGTAGTAGTCGTCGTCGTCGTCGTCGTCGTAGTCGTAGTAGTCGTAGTAGTAGTCGTCGTCGTCGTCGTCGTAGTAGTGGCAGTAGTAGTGGTACTACTACTACTACTACTACTACTACTACTACCACTTCTACTACTACTACTACTACTACTACTACTACTACTACGTACTAGTACTAGAATTAGTAAGGTCATGGTAGTAGCGGTGGCAGTGGTAGTGGTAGTGGTAGTTTTGGCTCCCGCATGGCAGCTAGTAGCAGAAGAGGAAGAAGAAGAAGTAGTAGTAGTAGTAGTAGTACTAGTACTAGTAGTAGGCGCCCCCCCCCTACCAACTACTCTTGCTTAAAACCATCTTAAGAGCACATCCGTTTTACTCGGTATTTACAGCACTTTCGTCATGTACGATCATCATAAGAGGCCTCAAAATCCACTCGCCGAGTTTGCTAACTCGGCCTCTTGATTTTGGACTTGCTGCGGGAGGGGGGGTGGGGGAGTGGGGGGGGGGATGATGACGACAGTGTTACGCAAACACAACCAGCAATATCACCACAAGAGCCGTTTTACTCGGTATTTACAGTACTTTCGTGATGTCCTACTGTCCTACTATCTTATATAGTTGCCACCCCTACTTCTGGACTGTGCGTCTTAAACTTTGCTGTCTCGAACGACAAGCCGAAAAAACTCGAAATTCGCTGGGGGAACCGTTTTCCTCGGTATGTACAATACTTTTTTCGCGACCGCGCTTTTACTCGGTATTTACAATACTTTCGCACACAACCCCGAAGCTTTTCTCGGGGATGATCACACTGTTTCGCGGACACCCCGAACAATATCTCCACACCCTAGCGCACACACCACACAGTACTTCAAACGCAAACCCTCCTACGCCGAGGTCGGGCCTTTAGGGGTGTTGGCGAGCTCCTTCCACGTACAGCTG